AGCCTGGGTGACAGAGTGAGATCCTGTCTCTTAAAAAAAATTTAACAAACTTAAAAAAGCTACCCAGGTGATTCTAAGGTATAGGCAGAGTTGAATAGTACTAAACTAGAAAAAAAGAAAAAAGAAAAAGAAAGAAACTGTTTATTAAGCATAGATGAAGTATGCAACCAAAGACATTTATTGGTTAGTAGGTAAAGAGGGCCTTTTGCCCAGCCAGATTCAAGTTACACATTCAAGAATGATTTGAGTAGTCATACATGTTTGTGATTTAATTTTAATTTTTTAAAGAAAATTTGCAAGGAAGGAAGCAAACTAAATATTGAGTATCAGCTTGCACTTAAACCACGTTTGCATATATTAATTTCACCCTCAAAATACCCTTGAGAGGGACCAGGCACGGTGGCTCACTCCTGTAATCCTTGCACTTTGGGAGGCTGAGGTGGGCGGATCACTTGAGGTCAGGAGTTCAAGACCAGCCTGGCAAACATGGCAAAACCCCGTCTCTACTAAAAGTACAGAAATTAGCCGGGCATGGTAGCGCATGCCTGTAATCCCAGCTTACTAGGGAGGCTGAGGCAGGAGAATTGCTTGAACCCAGGATGGGGGGCAGAGGTTGCAGTGAGCTGAGATTGCGCCACTGCACTCCAGCCTGCGCGACAGAGTGAGATTCCATCTCAAAAAAAAAGAAAACACACACACACACACACACACACACCCCAAAATAAAAAAGACTTGAGAGGTATATATTATTAAATTATTAAAAATAAACTTCAATAGTCTCTAGGATTTGGACACATATTTGTCAGATAGCAGAGTCCTCCACACTCTTTATACTATAGCAGAAGGATTTTCTTTGAGACAGTTTGTTTCAGAGAATTTTCATACTTTTCCAGTGTGAAAACAAATCAAAACAAAACAAAAATTAAAAAAGCAGGATTCAATGGCAGAGCACAGGATAAGGCAAACACATCTAAACAAGCACTTAAACCAGACTCTATTCCTGTATTTCCTATGCATTTGGAAAAAACATGTGAAGTTTATCTGGAAAAAAACATGTGAAGTTTATGGTTTAACTCTATACAAGATTATGTAGGAACTGCTATCTTTTTATCCTGAGAAATTAACCAATGGCCCACCTACTGCCTTACTACTAGTGACAGTCACACATTCTTGGGAACAGGGTTGGGCAGGATAGAGCAGGGTGCTTAGTCACAGTGCCTGACACTAAACAAGAATAATGGTCTTAAAGATGTTTTCATTTTCTCCCCAAACTCAAAGGATTATTAGAATTCCATCTCCCAAAGCAGTTTACAGACGGAGTTTTGATGGGACATTTACAGCTAGTATGAAACTTCTGGCCGGGCGCGGTGGCTCACACCTGTAATCCCAGCACTTTAGGAGGCTGAGGTGGGTGGATCACGAGGTCAGGAGATGAGACCATCCTGGCTAACACGGTGAAACCCCGTCTCTACTAAAAATACAAAAAATTAGCCGGGTGTGGTGGCGAGCGCCTGTAGTCCCAGCTACTCGGGAGGCTGAGGCAGGAGAATGGCATGAACCCGGGAGGCGGAGCTTGCAGTGAGCCGAGATTGCGCCACTGCACTCCAGCCTGGGCGGCAGAGCAAGACTCCATCTCAAACAAAAACAAACAAAAAAAGAAACTTTCAACTTTAACTTAAGCCATCAAAAGTCCTACATTAATGTACTCATTAAAAGCTATCTTTTAGCCTTGGTCAACACAGCGAGACCTTGTCTCTATTTAAAACAAATAAAATAAAATTAGCTGGGTGTGCTGTTGTACACCTGTGGTACCAGCTACTTTGGGGGCTGAGTTGGGAGGATTGCTTGAGCCTGGGAAGCTGAGGCAGCAGTGAGCCATGATTCCAAACTGAGCAACAGAGAGAGACCCTATCTTAAAAGCTATCTCTAAAAAGTTTAGTTCCTGAGTTGTTTGACTCATTTTAATTTTCAAATTAAAAGAGAGTTTTTCAGGGATTTAAAAAAAAAAAAAAAGGAAGTCCAGACCAAAAAATTCTCATCATTCCCATCAGCACTGATTCTTCTATCCTGAGACCCATTATCTATTCTCCTTTTTCAGGCCCCTACCTTGTAAAGTGATACTCAAATGAGTCATACTTGGTTGCATCAGAGGCCAATGGGAGAACACTTTGAACCACACAGAGTTCTCTCAAAGCATATTCCAAAACAAGTATATGTTGACAGGAGTAACTACTAAATGCACTGGCTTGGAGTATGGTTGTGTGTCTTTTCCATTTCAAATGGTGTTAATTATAATTTAATTATACATAAAAATGTTTTGGGGTTTATTTAAAAATTACACCCTCTGTCAAAAGAAGAGGGTGAAGAGGAAAAAGAAAGAAGTCATAGTTTATCCCTTATAGTCCTTCTCTCCAGTACATTTGGGGCTGGGCACTAAGATGAGCTGGAAAAACATACACTCAATTGACATGGGAAAAGCTACAACACTTCTCCATCCAACCCTTAACATATTAAAGACAGAACAAATCAACACCTGATTTTCTCAATAACAAAGAATACATAAATTTCATTCGTTCAAAGATGATCACCTACCATCTTCTACTCCAAAACAAATGATTACCTAATTCCCACATTCACATACTGTATTTAGGAGGTAGCCCTCAAAAACAACAACAAAAAGATAATTTAAGTTTTATAACGTGACCCCTATCATAGTATTAAAATCTGACTTTTAAATTGACACTGGATTTAATGGTGTGCATGTATGTAACTTGTGACATGAAAAACCATTTATATTTTTGGATGCTGGTAATTACCCTTGAAAATATAAGTAGGCTTAACATGCAAGTAAAAATGGTGAGACAAATGTAAATTCAAAGATAAACCTACATAATGGTAAAGCAAGCTATTCTCTAATTGTAAAAGTGAAAAACACTATGAAATCAGACCTTTTCTTAACAACTAACCTCAAATATTTTTCTATTTTTAGTTCTAATTTCCATCCTATCCTCTCCCCACCCATACTCCCACAAAGCCTCTAGAACATCAAGTAGAACACAATGTTATGAACAAAGTATAATAAACAAGATTGGACATCAGTCAATGAGCCTCTGTATAAATTTACTAAATCAATGTATGTATGAATTTACTAAAAAATGCTCCTAGTGATATTAAAACCAGAAATAATTTGTATCTTGGCACCACTACAAGCAGCCAATGAGCATGAAGCAAGTTTTCACCTGGACGCTGCCAACACAGTCATCAAGACTTTGGGAAAATCCCAAAGCTTGTTTCAAAATATATCCACTTTTACTTTTTTCCCCCATCCTTTAGTAAATTTTCTAGATATAAATTTTAAAATCTTAAAATTTATAATTAGTTACCAGCGCCCTTCATCCCACAGATCAGGTGTCCTACATTTTGTTCAGGTCCTGCCTTGAAAACAAACCCGATTGCCCCATTTTCTGAGAGGGAGCTCAGCTCCAGGCAGCTCCCTATGAAGTCACCGCGTTTGTTGTTTCAAAGATGCAATTAAATGAAAATGACACAAGGCTGTCGAATAGATTAGTTGGAAATGTGCGGTGGTGTCGATCATATACATGTATGGCCAATGAAAACTGTATTGCTGTAAATCTCTTAGTGATATTTCTCCCCATCTTCCTCTCTCCATTATATTCACAACACAAGGAAATTAAACTTTTTAAGAATTTTCTTGACTTTGGTTTAACTTTAGCCTCCCAGCTGTCTGCTCTTACAGTATCACGTAATGAGCAAAGCGGCGGGGCTAGGGGGCCGGAGGTTAGAGTGTTAATTTTAGCAAGCAGAAGAAAAGCAATAAAAGAGCTTGCATCAGACGGTGTCTCTCTCTCTCTCTCTCTCTCTCTCTGCCCCCTCTTCCCCCGCTTCCCCGCCATCCCACCCCCTTCTCGAGCCCTTACACATACACATTCTTCTGGGCGGCCTCTAACCACACCATCTCCACAATCATTTGCAGAAATTAGAAACAGACTCCGGGAGCCCTTCCCTTAAGCACGCACAGAGCGGAGCTGTGCAAGCACGACGGGGCAATGTCACTCCCTGTTACCCCACAATCTCGTACTCCCCCTGTGGGTTTCGTTCCCGAGATCCGGCTTTCTTCCGCTGAGGAGATGGATCTACCTACTTCGCAATGGAGTTTCATCTCATTCTTCCCCACTCCAGTCACCCCACCCCCACTCTAACGTACAAAAACACCCCACCACCACAACCAAAGAAAAGTTCCTTCTACCAGGGCAACAGAGGAGTTGGGTTTAGGGACTGGAGCAAAAGCAGAGACAGGAGGAAGAGAGCTAGCGCAATGTACTTTGTTTTGCACTTCTGCACATGCAGCGCAGAGCCCAGGGCGGCTCTCTTCCTTACCGGCTGGTCCCGAGACCAGGTCCTGCTACTGGAGCGCCGGGCTAGGGCTGCGCGGACGCGGCGTCGGGGCGGGCCGCCGGCAGCCGCCGCGGGCGCCGAGAGCCACCACCTCTTCTCCCACAAGCGGCTGCGGGCGTGGGCTGAAGGAGCTGGAGAAGGAGCCTGGGGAGGGGGAGAAGAGGAGCAGCATCTCCTCCTCCTCCTCCTTGCCTCGGAAACGCCCCTCCAGCGGCGATCCCAGCGGACTGCCGGACCCCCGAGCCCCCAACGCACCCCCGCCGCCCTACTGTGCTCGACGCCCCTCCAAGAGCTTCGCCAGAACCTTCCGGCGCGGGCGGCTCAACTCCTGTAGGCGACTCTGACCGCTGCCGAGGCGGACCGGGGAGCTACGGAGCGCGGCTCGCCAGCACGACGGTCTCTAGGGACCGTGAGCATGGTGTGTCACCCTCGCCTCAGCGCGGCCGCCGGAGCTACTCGCACTACTCCGGCTCCACCTCGGGCAGCCGCGCCGGCTCCGCCCCCCCGGTCCTGTCACTCAACCATTCCCCGTCTCTGGGAGGACCGCAGATGTCCGACCCCGAACTCCCCTCGACCTCATTGGCTCGCCTGGCCTCCAGCTCCGCCTCCTCCCTAGGGACGAGGTCGCCGGGGAGACCAGCGCCCCGGTTGCCATGACAACCGGTGCCTTGGGCCTGGCTTTTCGCGTTCTTCGGACTAGCCGGAGGCTCAGGTTGGTGACCAAGCGGCAAAGTTCCTAGCGCCTGTAGTGTGAACTCCAACTTTTAGGCCAAGAGGAAAATGCAGCCGACGGGCCCCACACTTCTAACTTCAGAAACAGAACTTCATGACCCTAGGGAGTGAGGAGGAGAGTGAAAAATGCATAAGTGCTGGCTCCTCCCTTACCCTTCGCTGCCTCGCAGCCTTGTTTCTATATTCTCACCGGGAGCTTTGGACTTTGAAAGGATGAGGAGAATAGGGGAGAGGAAGAGCGTGGCTTTGCCAGCTCCCTGCAGCAATACAGCAACTTAGAAATGGCGGGGTCAAGGAAAAAACCTGGTGAGTTTTCCCACGGTTGTAAAGCGATCTTCAAAGGTGTGGTGACAGCACAACGCCAAATGCCCTAGGGAAAACTCAAATTCTCATATTTTTGAAAAAAGTTTGTAAATACTTGCCTTGTTATTTTCTCTGTGAGACTAAAATAATCCCAAAGTTTGAAAATTTAAGGAAAAGTTTTAACATAGTCGCTAACTTCCAGCTTTTTTGTATACACTAAAACTTGGCCAAGGTATATCCAGACAGCTATACCCCTCCTTGCTGCAAGCCGAAATATTTGAGTTTCAATAGTTAAGAGAGTCTTGCTGAATTCATGAACAAGTAATATCCTGTGATTTGAGTTTTGAAAGTTTTGGTTTATTCTCAGAGGTATAAGGTAAACTGGTCCAGTCTGGAAAGGGTACCTGAAGATAAATTTAGTCTGAGACCGTTAATGTTGAGCCCTAGGTAAATCTGAATTTCATGCCTGGCTCCAAAGTGGAGGGATCTGAGGCTTATTTGGCTTCCCCAAGAAAGTCAAAGCAGCAATCCTACGTTCCCTAGCCCCTGAGGCTGCCATACATGTATGATAAATGAGGGAATTAATAGTAATGATTTATCTTTGGCGAGCACTTGCATTTTCATTATATCATTTACTAAATGAATAACTATGATAGATATCTTCAGTCAAATATGCCTCGCAAGTATGCATTGAATGTGATTACTCACAGGGCTAAACACAATGGAAAATGCACAGCAGAATTTTAAGATTAAGTCCCTGCTCCCAAGGAGCTAACCTGGGGCCTAAGAAAGAAAACTAGCACTCTTGAAACAATTTGAGAATAATAATAGCTAAAATGTGCAGCCAAACTTTGAGTAGGTAGCAGGTAAGAGAAAGTCCGCTATGTAAAATGGGCTAGATTCCTCAGTTTATGGAAGAGGGGAATTTACCCTGGGCTTTGCTGAATGCAGCAAAGATGAGGAAAGTCAGTTGAGGGAAACAACAAAAACTAAGGAGCAGCAGCAGGGATGAGTGGTGAAAGTAAATAACAGGCCAGGCTCCCTGGACTGCAGACACAAGTGAATGAATTCTTCCCCCATTTTTAAATGTTCTGGTTCATCTCTTAGGGCGGTGGGAAAGGCAGGTTGAGAAGAACAGAAACTTTCATGAAACATCTGCCTCTGTTTGCCTCTGAAAGAAAGCTCATGTATTTATTGGAAAGAAAAGCAATATCCTTAATTAATGGCTGCAATAGATTGTGAATTCACATCAGAAAGAAGGTATAGCAAGTATAGTGTTGTAAATTTCCACAAAGTAGACAAACCACAGTGTCGTTAGCTTTTTTCCTTTTCTTTCTCTTCTTATTTATTTATTTATTTATTTATTTATTTATTTATTTTGCATTAAGGCCATTTCAGGTGGTTGCCCTCAAGGCATTTTCACCAGTAATCCCTCTGTTTTGGATGAGCTGAAAGACTGGTTTTAAAATACAATCTGATAAAAGGTACACACAAGGGAAATCTACAGGTTAAATTCCTTTTGGATATAATGTAAGTCACTACTAACAAATGGAACCCAACACTACATTACAAATGATATACCAAAATTAAGAGAAATTATTTCATGTATATAGTATGGCAATAGTCCAAGAATAGAAAATTTTCTCATATGCTTGATTATATTAATAAGTCAAAGGAGGAAAACATTATGAGGATCTCAGTTGATGCTGAAAAGGATTTTGTAAAGTCCAGCATCATTCCCAATAAAAATTAGAATTTGGAATAATTTAAATATATATGTGGTATACTAAAGCCAGCAACTTCGTTTATAACATAACATTGCAATTATTCCTATTGAAGTCAAGTACAGGCAAGAATGTTCACTATCACATTGTAACAATAGAAATGATAGCCAACGCAATTAGATATAAAATAGAAATAAGAAATTAAGTACTGTAAATAAGTCAGGATTGTCATTTGTTTGCAAATAATATGAAAACTCCAAAGCATCAACTGAAAAACTCTTAGAGGCAACAAAAGATGAATTAAGATAACTAGTTATAAAATTAACATACAGGGAGTGGGGCACAGTGGCTTATGCCTGTAATTCCAACACTCTAGGAGGCCGAAGTGGACAGATCACTTGAGCCCAGGAGTTCAATACCAGTCTGGGCAACATGGTGAAACCCTTTCTCTGTAAACAATAAAAAAATTAGCCAAGCATGGTGGGATGCACCTGTAGTCCCAGGTACTCTGGAGGCTGAGGTGGGAACATTGCTTGAGGCCAGGATGTTGGGGCTGAAGTGAGCCATGATCACACCACTGCACTATAGCCTGGGCAACAGAGTAAGATCCTGCCTCAAAAATAACAATAACAATAATAATAATATAATAAAAACATATGAAAAGAACTTTCTCATGTATTATCATAACCAATTTGAAAATACAATATAAAAAGAATCCATCCCACTTACAGTAGCCGCAAAAATTTAAGTAGCTAAAAATAAACACTAAAATAAATTTATAAAACTGGCTGGGCATGGTGGCTCATGCCTGTAATCCTAGCATTTTAGAAGGCTGAGACAGGAGGGTTGTTTGAGCCCAGGAATTCAAGACCAGCCTGGGCAACATAGTAAGACCCCATATTTATTTATTTAAAATAAATAAATAAAGTAAAATATAAACAAAAGTTATAAGACGTACTTTAAAAATGATATAATTTGTAGTGGACTATGATTGTGCCTATGAATAGCCACTGCATGCTAGCCTGGGCAACACAGCAAGATCCCATCTTTAAAAAAAATTTTAGAATCATGACAGATTTATGACAAATAACAATGTTTGAAATAAAAAAGAAATATACTTTTAAATACTGAGGTTGAAACAATGTATAATTATCTTTTAAAAGTAAGTTATATATCAGGTATAATTCTTTTGATTTTTCTGTTGTTAGTTTTTTTTTGAGACAGGGTCTTGCTCTATTACCCAGGCTGGAGTGCAGTAGTGCAGTCACAGCTCACTGCAGCCTTGACCTCCTATGCTCAAGCTATCCTCCTGCCTCAGCCTCCTAAGTAGCTGGGACTACAGGTGCACACCACCATGCCCAGCTAATTTTTAAAAAAAGTTTTGTAGAGAGGGGTCTTGCTATGTTGCCCAGATTAGTCTCAAACTCCTGGGCTCAAGCAATCCTCCCTCCTTGGCCTCCCAAACTGCTGGGATTACAGGCATGAACCACCACACCCGGCCTATCCAGTATAATTCTAATCAAATGTCCAACAGAATACTTTTAGGAATTTGATAAAATAATTTAAATATTCATTTGGAAGAGTACCATTCAAAAATAGGAAGAGTCTTAAAAAGAAAATAAATGAGTGGGAGTTACATAAAAACTATTAAAATAAATTATAAATTAGAATGATTAGCAGCAGACTCAAGCAGTCAACTAGGTACAGGTAAAGGGCAGGATGATGTGTATCATTCAGGTTACAGTGTTGAGAAACCTAGTTATTTCTTGTGTATCTTTTCAGACACACACACCTAAATATCCTTTTCCAAAGGATATTACTCATCTAATATATTGATTTTTTTAACTTCATAATATCTATCTGTTTGACTTTAGCTTCCCACAGTGTTGAGAAACCTATATTTCTTGTGCATCTTTCAGACACACACACCCAAATATCCTTTTTCCAAAAGGATATTATCTAATATATTGATTTTTTTAACTTCATAAATATTCATCTGTTTGACTTAGCTTCCCCGGGCTAAGTGGCTTCTATTATCAAAGATGCTTTTAGATGAGCTTCAGTTCTTTTGAAAGGCTGTGTAGTGCATTCTGTTGCTTAGATGTTGCATGATTTCCACCTCCCCTACCTTTCAACAAGTATACACGTTTATTTCAAGCCTCCTTTGCCAATTTTTTTTTTTTTTTTTTTTTTGAGATGGAGTCCCGCTCTGTCGCCCAGGCTGGAGTGCAGTGGCCTGATCTCGGCTCACTGTAAGCTCCGCCTCCCGGGTTCACACCATTCTCCTGCCTCAGCCTCCCCAGTAGCTGGGACTACAGGCGCCCGCCACCTCGCCCAGCTGATTTTTTGTATTTTTAGTGGAGACGAGGTTTCAAGTTGAAATATGTCTCTTTGAATCCGATTCTGGCTTACATGTCGTGTACATCTGTAGGTTTAGCTTCTAGAAGTAAAATTGCTGGGTTAAAGAACATTTTACTTTTTTTTTTTTTTTTTTTGAGATGGAGTTTTGCTCTTGTCGCCCAGGCTGGAGTGCAGTGACGCAATCTCCGCCCACTACAACCTCACCTCCCGGGTTCAAGCGATTCTCCTGTCTCAATCTCCCATGTAGCTGGGATTACAGGCGTGAGCCACCACGCCCGGCTAATTTTTGTATTTTTAGTATTAGAGATGAGGTTTTACCGTGTTGGCCAGGCTGGTCTCCAACTCCTGACCTTAGGTGATCCACCAGCCTGGGCCTCCCAAAGTGCTGGGATTACAGGCGTGGGCCATCATGCCCACCCACGTTTTACATTTTGATAGACAAAACCAGGCTGCCTTCCAGATAAGTGATACAAGTTCCAGTCATCCTAACAAAGATGGAAAGTTTGGTAGCACACCATGTTTCCCCACATCTTCACCAATACAGCATTATCAAACTGTTTTTATCTTTCCCAGTCTAATAGATATAAATTGATATCTCATTACAGGTATAATTTTCGATTCTATTTGAGGATTTTTTCTATGCTTACAAGCCATTTTTGTTGTTGTTGTTGTTACCAAAAATATTCTCACATATTTTCTTTTCAAAGTTTTATGGCTGTTTTTCACATTATATTTTTTCATCCATATGGAATTTATTTTGGCGATAGCAGCAGCGACCCAGTTGTCCCCACATCTTTACCTAATAATTCAGCTTTACCCCCACAGAAACGAAATCCTCTCTGTATCATATACAAATTCCTGTATGTTCTAGGGTCTACTTCTAAGCTCTTTTCTGTTTAATAACATTTAGATTTCCATATACAAATCTGAGTCATAACATACTAGAAGGAGGTATGAGTGAATTCCTTTAGAGCATTTGAGTCTTGTTTCCACACGTGATAAAAACCAAAAACTTAAAAGAATTTGTACATTTTACTACATAAAATATAATAAAAAGTTTCTGTAAGTAATAGAAAGATCATGTTACTTTGTTCCATTTGGAAATACAATTTCAATGTCTTTCACAATTTATGTTTATATCCTGTAATTTATTCTACTTCAGAAATGTATCCTATATATATTTATATACATGACCAGATATATGATCAAGGATATTCATTGCCTTATTGTTGATAGTTATAAAATCAAAAACAAAATAAATGTCCATACTAACAGAATGATTAAACTCTGGTAAACCAATATATATGATCTAGCAACGGAATCAAGTTGCCATATAGTATGATCTGATTTCTGTTTAAAAATACCTATATCTATAAATACACATAGAGATATTTTTCTATTAACAATGTTTGAGGATTATAATTACAGAAAACATTGCATTTCTGAAATTAAAAAAAAACTTTACAGCAAGCATATGTTACTTTTGTTATAAAAGATCCACATCAATTATTGCTATTCCTACTAAGGAAATTAGAAAACTGGCCATAACAAATATTGGGCTTTTAATGGCATATGGGGCCTCAGGTTGTTCATCACTTAGGGACTGTACTCACGACACACTCTAAATCAAGAATGTTTTATGTTGGACCCATGAACAACCACATAATGGACCCCCCAGACTATTCCAGGTATGTGTGATGGTGCTTTTTTCTAGGGAAAATGTCCATACTTTTTTTTCTCCTTTTAAAAGATGGGTCTTGTTCTCTTGCTCAGGCTGGAGTGCAGTGGCTGTTCACAGGCACAGTCATACTGTGTGGTGGCCTCAAACTCCTGGGCTGAAATGAATCTACAGCCTCAGCCTACCAAGTAACTGGGAGTAGAGGCATGCATCACCACACCCAGCTTCATCCATAATTTTTTGACAAATTCACAAAGGGGTCTATATCTCTCCAAAGTGTTAAGAGTGTGTGTTTTAAATGCCAGTGATTTTTAAATGCCACCTTTTACCTCAAAGGCTGAAATGAATTCTGGGCTAATCTAAATCTGTAAATAGCAGTGTTTTCCCAGCTGGCTTCTTGTGTTCATCTCAATGTGCAATATTTGTATTCTGACTTGCCAACTATGTTAGTGTTTTTCCCTACTTTAAGCCCAGAAGCATATTATCCTTTCTTGCTTACAGAGTAAGAGCTGTGATGGGAACATTGCCCAGGTGAGAAGCAGAAGCGCGATAAGTAATCCACCAAAACATGAGCAGGTAAATGAAGCACAGACTCTGACAGTGCTTAAGGAAGACTTTGTGAGGCAATGCTAACACTTCCAAGTGAACCAAGAATTAGCTAGGGGAAAAAATGCAGTGATAGAAACCAGATAGGACTACAATTACCTTCAGGTCCATTGAATACACAAGTTATTTTCTTTTGGTAGTAGCTGAACCCTCTTTAAAATTTGAGAATTCCACTAGGATGCAGAGTCACATGACTGAAATGACACAGATAACTAAACACTGGGACAAAGTACATTGAAAAGAACACAGCGTTTGCACTCAGAAAACCTAAGTACAAATCTTGGAAAGTTACTTAACTTTTTTTTTTTTTTTTTTTTTTTTTTTTTTTGAGACAGTATCGCTCTGTTGCCCAGTATCTTCCTCATTTACAAAGTGAAGGAAATAAGAGTAGCGAATATGTTCCACACGATAGCCTGTACTGTTTTTTCAATATTCAGCAGGAGCAAATACAATATATGCATGAAAACTGTAAGCTTTAGTTCACTATTTGTTTAAAGCCAAACAACAAAAAGCTTTACAGGTTTTGGGAATTACTGAATATTTTAGGCTTGAGATAATTTTTGGACATAATTTTTTCATTCTGAAGAGAAACTTTGGAAAATATTTACAGGCAGCAGGACTCACTAAATCTATGAAATACTAAGACAGAAAAATTTAATTGTGGTGCTCCTGTAACTTCCACTTTTCTTTGCAAATGAACTTCTTTTGTATATTTAGCCCATTTCCAGTTTTCCCCTACTGGCCCCAAACTGACCAGGGCTACTTAGTTATGCTTAGTAGAGCTGGCTACACCATAAAAGCAACCATCTATTCTTATTTGATTTTCCAGGTGCTTCAAGGCTCTACCTGAACCAAAACATTTCCCTCACCTAAATTTATTGGCTAGAAATTCTCACTTTTAGTCATTAATGAGTTAAACTGCAAAGGTGTTATCTTTAGAAAGTGATAGTTAAAATTCATTTTATTTTCTAGCTTTCTCTCTTCACACCTTAATGTGGATTAGTTTATCAGATTAGTTAGTTGTCATTTTAAACCCTGAGGGAGAGAGATACTGGAGCTGCACATTCTAATTAATGAAGGGGAAGTGGGAAAGAGGGGAAGACAGTTTCGATGATGAGTGGAAGAGAGAGAGAGGAATTTGGTGGGGGAGAGGTATGCGGTATGAGGGTGGCCCTCGGGGCTAATGATACCAAGGGAGGGGATGAAGGAAGTATATGTAGTACTAAAGGGGTGTGGCACTGAAGTCAAACTGCCTAATTCACAATTTTTACTAGGGTTGGTCCTGTCTCTGACTCATTTCTACTACTTGTCCTGGCAAGTTATGTAACTGCCTATTCAGTTTGGTTGAAGGGAATATGGCAAATAAGCATAACCCTTCTGTTTTTTTGAAACTTAGCCATGTTAGAACATATACTAAGTAATTTAATGTGAATGTGCTCTAATCCTGACCCATAGGGACTTGCCTTAGGGTTCATGGCTGCTAATCTTGATTTGTAAAAGTATTCCCAGAAATGAAGACCAAGACAGAAGTTAAGCTTTCTAGTTTATCTTCTGGCTTAAAGAGTGTGATTTCATATTGTCTGATGGGAGTGAGCTGCTGTGCAAGAGAATTGATCATTAAGGGCTTTGTTAGGTGGAATTAGAGCATTTAATTTAAACAGGTATCACTTGAAAATAATTTTTTTTAAGTTGATTGTCTTACTTTTTACATCTCCCCCTATAATGACCAGTAGAAAACTTAGGAGGAAAATGGTCATATCTACAGAGACTAGCTGTTAGTTTAGGGCCAAACCCAGACTTACGATATTCATATTAAAAGGGGAACTTACCACATTCAACAACCTGAAGAGGGGAAATTTGTCTTAGAGCGCTGAATCAGTTAGGATAAGTAGTTCTTCAGCTATTCTAAAAAGTTAAAGAACTATAAAATATTACACACATATGATGTAAGCATTGTATTTTCACTAACAACCTACCATTATGCATTCATTAGCCAATCTTTTGATGCTAGGCCAAGGCCTCTTGACCATGGATCTACTGTTGGGAGTTCTAGATTGTCTTATTTACATAAACACTTTCCATAAGGCAAAACCTACGGTTTTTTGTTTTGGTTTTTGTTAAAGGGAACATATAACTTGAGGACACTTGTGAAACAATATGAGTTTAGAATGCTTCCATTAAATTTATTTTTGCAATTTATTCTAGTTTTCTTGCCCATAGTAATTTATTGCAATGATTAGTCTTTCCATAGCATTCAATTTCATTTTTACAAAATGAAGAGAGATTAATACTGCATACACACAGTCTTGGAGTATGGAGAGGGAAAAAAAAAAAAGACTTTTTTACCCTTCTAATGATATGGTTATTACAGTATACCATTAATATGAACCTGAAGAAGTATAAACTCTACTGCCTTTAATCAAAGAATATACTCCAATTACTCAGCTTTCAATAAGCATTCTCTTGCTTTCTTGTTTGAATAATCTTCCTTTCTCTGGTCCAGTTCTCTTAATGGGAAAGTCTTCTTAATAGCAGCTTGAATTGGATTAAAAGTTGAATAAAAGTGTTAGGTAAAAGTCCTGGGTTGGATATTGTTGAACTACTGTCTTGGACTTTTAATCCAAGACTTTTATTGGATAAAAGTCTTCTCAATAGCAGCTTCAAGCTTCTCTTCACCAATAGCAACTTGAATTGGGTGAAGAGTTAAAGTATCTGTAAACCAAACATCACCTTCTTCATAACCCCATCAGTTTGTCTACAAAGTAGATTCCAGTTATATTAATAATGCAAATTTAGGCCAAGCAAGGTGGATCACACTTGTAAACCCAGCACTTTGGGAGGCTAAGTAGGAGGATCACTTGAGCCCAGGAGTTTGAGATCAGCCTGGGCAACAGTCTGTAGACCCCATCTCTACAAAAAAATTTAAAAATTAGCCAAGTGTAGTGGGATGCACCTATAGTCCCAGCAACTTGGGAGGCTGAGATGGGAGGATTGCTTGAGCCTGAAAGGTAGAGGCTGCTGTGATCTGTGATGATGCCACTGCACTCCAGCCTGGGTGACAGAGTGAGACCCTCTCATAAGAACTCCAGACTCCCAAAAATTTCTTACCACTTCCAACATTTCCAGGATTTTTCAAGAGATATTCATATGTGCTCTGTAAACTTTATCTTTGTTTTTCCACTTAGATCTCCTGAAAGTTTAATACCTGAATGTCACTTACTATAGAGTTTTCTGACGTGTCTACTGCTGCTCTTATGCCCTCTGTGACAGAATTAATGTTGATGTCATAGGGATTGTCTCTCAGTGATTCTCAAACTGCCTACCAAAGAGCTAGAGCTGGGCTGGGCTTAACTACAGAAGAGATGCCACCATTGTACCATACTTTGTCACTTGGTTCTTGAAGCAGCACCAATTGTGTTCACTGTATCACAAAGTCTCTGATGAAATTAACTATTTTATATGGATTATCACCCTACACACACCCATGCATGCACACACACACACATTCATACATTCATTACCTATCTTTTAAACAAAAGTAACACACATCTATGCATAAACTCATCCACCAGCCCTTTGAGAAATCACCAGCCCTTTCTTTCAGTAAATAGCTAGACTCTGATAATCAGAATATTGCAAAGGGGTGGAAGGGGGATACCTTAATTTAGATAAGATAAAAGAGATATCTTTTTATTTAAAGCACTGTCACCTACTTTGGGCATGTGATCATATTTTTCTCAGAGTATGAACTCTTTTAGGGCAGTGCATCAGAATGACTAGTGGCCCCAAGTAACAGAGTATCTGATAAGAAGTGGCTTAAACAGAAAGAGTTATTTTCTCACATTAGAAATCAGGTAGTAGGCAACTGCTTCTGACAGTGCAGTAGCTCAACAATATCCAATCCAGGATCACTTCAGTTATCTTTACCTTCCTCCTAAAGTCATAACAGGACTACAGCAATTCCAGACATTCAATCCTCTTTCAAGACCAAAAGAATGATGGAAAACTGTGTGTCTAGCCTTGGCTGTTCCTTTTCCTTTTTTTAAATGTAGAAAAACTAAGACTTTCCCCCAAAAGACTTCTCTCCAGTATTCTTTCACCTATATATTGATGTCATATTATGTCATATGACCAGAATTATGTCATATGACCACTTCTGATTGCAAGGAAAGCAAGCAAGCAAGTATATAGCTTTTCTAGCCTCTAGGAAAGGTAGGCACGAGAAGAAGGGATTGAAAATATATGTTAGTTTACTTAGGTAACTGTAAGTCTCTGCCACTTTAGTATCCCCAGCACGGGGGTACTATAGGCAGAGTTAATGTTCACTGAGTGGTGAGGGTAGGGTGAACAGGTTATTTGGATATAGTAACAGTAAGTTTTTCCATTAATCACTAATTAAATAAACAAGAAAGATCTTTAAGAACTATTTCAATTTAACAAACAATTTTAAATGATTCTTTGGTTTTTGAATAATAAAATAAGATTTTCATAAAATAATGTGTCAATTTTATTTATATCACCTAATAATATTAACACATTCAACTATAACCACAGTAGGAAGATAAAAATATAAATGTTATCAACTAAAATGCAAAAATCTTATAAAAGATTAAATTTTATGTAACGTATCATTGTTTTCTTAGCTACTTATAGAAAGTTTCCTATCAAATTACTAGTCTTTCAGGGCTCATTGGTTTAGTCCCCAATTCTTGTTTGACCGTCATCAGTGCCAGGCCACTGCCTCTCTCTTTTCCCACAGTGTCGTTCGTGTAAGTGGTTTTTTTAGATGACAGATGATTATTTCAGTCTTGCTCTAGCTGTAGATTAAGCCAAGTAAAATGGAATAGCTTTAAGGAAAAGGAGGCCTGTTTGGGGAGAGCAAAGAGCCAAGGTACTTATTTGATATGATCATGAATAAAGATAAGGTTCATTTAATTTTGGTAAAACCAAGGTTCTAAGTTTATATTTGC